CTATTCTATTCTATTCTATTCTATTCTATTCTATTCTATTCTATTCTTTGCAAGATCACCAGGCAACTCGTGCAGGATCCACCAGGGGGCAGCCATGGGAAGCACAGCATGGCAGTACTGGCACTACCTCAGCTACAGAATGGAACTGAGCTGCCTACAACGCCTTGGCAGGGCTTGTTGCATTCAGGTAGGGCTGGAAATGGAGTCCCCACTTGGGGAGGTTGTGGAAAACCCTCCCTAAAGGATCGTAGGAAGTTTTGAGGAGATTGGATTGGGAGCTTGCATTGAAGAGCAGAACCTCATGCACTTGTTGCAAAGAAATAACAGTTCCCAATTCTCTCCAAAATACTATGGGAAGCTGCTATTGTTTATCAGGTATCTATTTTGCAGATTAGCACAGCATTTCTCAAACTTGGCAGCTTTTAAGACGGATGGACTTCAACTCCCAGCATCCCTCAACCCTCGAGCTAGTTGAGGGATGCTGGGAGTTGAAGTCCACCCATCTTAAACCTTTCTGGTTAGAGAATAATCGACTTAGATGGATCTAAAGACGAGGTTTTCTTCTCTTGGGAGGCTATTTTTCCCCCCTCTTACTCCCATTATCTTTGCACCACCAACCCCGGGCAAAAAACTACTCCTTTCTTTTGAAAAACAGATAGGAAATTGCGCATGCGCCCGATAGCTTGGCTGACATCGTTTCTGCAGAATGCAGGTTTGTTTGTTTTTTTAATTTGGGGAGGGGTACAGAGAGACAAACAGGAAGTGTAGCGAGTGCATCAGCTAGAATCTTCCTCCTGGGCTTCATTTCCCTCCCTTTCTTCTTGCCTTCAAACTCCCCCAAAAGGCAAAGGGGACTGCGGGAAGATCTTGCAGGAACGGAGGGACACCGAGTGGCGCCCTTTTCCTCTGCAAAGTGAAAGGGAGCCGCGGAGAAAAGAGGAGGAGAAAAAAAGCAAGGTATTTCCTCTAGATTGCAAAGCTGTCTTGGTGAGGGAGGGAGGGTCGGTGGGTGGAGGAAGAGAGAAACGGGAACTATTTATCTATTTATGTATCTATAACTATCTCTACTGTATCTGTCTACATTTATCTACCTACCTACTACCTACCTGCCTCTATCTCTACAGTATCTACCTATCTACCTATCTCTATATCTACAGTATCTATCTGCCTGCCTGCCTGCCTGCCTGCCTCTATCTATCTATCTATCTATCTATCTATCTATCTATCTATCTATCTATCTATCTATCTATACTGTATCTGTCTACAGTATCTCTTTCTCTCTCTCTCTCTCTCTCTCTCATCTATCTATCTAGCTTGCAGGAACAGACTGACACTGAGTGGCGCCCTTTTCTTTTGCAAAGAGAAAGGGAACTGCAGAGAAAAGAGGAGGGGGGGAAAAGCAAGGTATTTCGTCTAAAAGCAAAGCTGTCTTGGTACGAGAGGGAGGGTCGGTGGGTGGAGGGAGAGAGAAATGGGAATTATTTATCTATTTATGTATCTATATCTATCTCTACAACTACCTATCTACCTATCTCTATCTCTTACAGTATCTATATCTATCTATCACCTATCATCCATCTATCTATACTGTATCTGTCTACAGTATCTATCTATCTATCTATCTATCTATCTATCTATCTATCTATCTATCTATCTATCTATCTATCTATCTA